AAGTTGAAGAAAATGCCACCGAGTTGCCTTTATTTCGTCCCAGCTGGTACGGATGTCAAGCTGCAACCCCTTGCCAAAAGCTGACATGTTTTGCAAAGCAGAACAGTACATTTTTATAGAAATACAGACCTGTCAAATTAGAATTTCTCGCTCCCACCCCTCTTGTCGGCTTTGAGCTGATTGGATGGCGTCATCAGCTGGAGGAGAGGCATAGCCGGCTTAGGCGCGCCTCATCCAATTGGCAAGTCAGCACCACTTCGGCCTCTTGCCCAATGGGAGAGAAGGAGGTGGTACAGGCAGGAAACAATGAAAAAATGAATGGATTAAGTGACTCAATGTATGGATAATCACCCGCGATAACTTTGACAGTCTTCAAGCCGGCTCTTCTATTGTCTTTGAATGTGGCAATATACATTTTTTGTCTGACCGAAAGGCAGACCCTTTTGAAATCCTTGGGTCGGGGATATGGCTTGATTGATAGTATCTGACTTTTGGTATCGGCCTGAGGAATGTCAACAAAGAAGGAGACTGTGGGGACATCAATAGCCTCTTTAGGCAGGCTGTCCCCTGTGGTGAGGAATGATTGAATTTGCCATGGGGCACATCCCCCAGATGGGCAAACTCTGATGTCTGAAAGATAGTGCCCACTGTCCTATTATTCATGCATGAGTTTCTGTTGAGTACTTTTTTTGTTTGGGGGCTTATCTGGCCCAGGAGGGGAGAGGAAGTCTCCTGGAGCCCATGTGTGGCTAGGTTCATGAAAAGGTGACATTTCATATTTTATATAGACATATATGGGATTCATAAGGTATACATTCATAAAGAGGGGAAAAGAAATCATACCAACCCATCCCACCCACCAAAAGTCCATTGAAAGTCTAAAAATCATAGTGGAAGTTCATGAGGTTTGGGGAGGAAAAAGTTTCTAAAAGTTCATAGAAAAGTCCATAAAGTGTGGATTACAGGGGCATTGCCATGTGGGCCCATGGGGTCATGGAAAGAGCCTTAGGTTCCCACATGGGGGAGAGATAGGGGATTATGGGATTATTCCGACCTGGTGTCCTTGGTAAAACTATGAATTCCTTGGTTTTGAACAATCTTTTACAGAGTCCTGCAAAAGGGGGGGGGGTCACCTCCAATATCAATATTAGGCCTTAGTCTGATCCAGAGACTAGAAAAGTTACTTTTAGACTAAAACTCCCCTTAACCTAAAAATTAGCATGGGTCCTAGTTGAATAAGTGGGGCAACTGCTAATTATGTGGGCTGTGAGGGATTCTGCAAATGGCAGGCTAGAAAAAGTAACTTTTACAATACTCCTACTAATATATATAAGGAGAATGAAGGTGTTGGGTCCTTCCTGAATCCGTCTTCAAATGCAACAGGTATCGCTTGGCTTTTATTATCCATTAACTCTGCGTTTCTCCAGGGAGTGAATGTGTATGTCTGTGTTCATAACTCGTTTTCTTCCCTGCCTTCTGAGATTAATTAAAATGCTAACCCAGTTACATGGAAATGGTGTCATTGACCCAGTTTCTCCTTTCCAAACAGGAAACAGAATCTGAAGCAACGTATGCCCCAATGTAGGTCACAGGTAGGTTTTATACAAAAATCTTTCAAGCAGACTAGGCAACCATTTTATGGATAACATTCGCTACTCTTATGTTCTGTTGAAATGGGACTGTAGTAGTGTTTCCCAAATATGTTGCTGTGCATTTCAAGTCATTTCCAAGTTTAAAAGCAAACTCTTTCATGGGTTTTCCTGGCACTGGGAGTTTGTGTCTCACCCAGGTTTATTCAGTGTGTTTCCATAGCCAAGCGGGGAATCAATAATAATAATAATAATAATTTTATTTTTATTTCTGGCCCCATCTCCCCAAAGAGACTCAAGGTGGCTTACAAGGGACCAGGCTCAGTAAAAGAAAATTATAATATAGCACCAAAAATACATTGCATTACACTAAATTGAACACATAAAGAAAAGAAAAAAACATATAAAACATCATAAAAATATACACTCATCAACAACCAATAACCAGTAGCTGAGCACAGTGGGCGTGTTCAGAGCTGAAAGGGCAGGATGAGAGCCTGTGCAATATACTACAAGGGAGGGGCTGGTAATAAAGGGCAAAAGCCAGATATTAAGTTAGGGCTAGAAGGGCCAAGTCCGTTGTTGAACCGATTAACCAAAGACACAATGGAACAACCAACTTTTCAGGTATTCCCGGAAGGTGGACAGAGTGGGTGCTAATCTAATCTCTCTGGAAAGGGAATTCTGGGGGGGGGGGGCACCACCGAGAAGGCCTTTTCCCTTGTCTTCACCAACCGTGCTTGTGATGGAGGTGGAAGTGAGAGAAGGGCCTCCCTGGTAGATCTTAAAGCTTGCACAGGTTCATAGTGGAAGATGTGATTGCGAAGATAGGCTGGACTTAAACCATTTATGACTTTCTAGGTGATAACCTGCACCTTGAATTGGGACTGGAAACTTATCAGCAGCCAGTGGAGCTGTTTTAATAGGGGAGTTGTCCATTCCATATAATTCACTCCTGTTAGCAACCTAGCCACCCACTTTTGTATCAATTGTAATTTCCAGGCCATTTTCAAAGGCAACCTCACATAGAGCACATTGCAGTAGTTGAATCTGGAGGTAACTAAGGCAAGGACCACCATGGCCAAGTTAGACTTCTCGGGGTATGGTCACAGCTGGTGCACAAGCTTTGTGTGAAGGCCCTCCCAGCCACCACCAACACTTGAGCATTAAATGTCAGAGCTGAGTCCAGGAGGACCCCCAAACTGTGTACCTGTGTCCTCAGGGGGAGTGTAACCCCATCGAACACAGGTTGCCTCCCAATACCAGATCGGCTGCACGACTGACCAGGAGGACCTCTGTCTTGTCAGGATTAAGTTTCAGCTTGTTAGCCCTTATCCAGTCCATCACAGTGGCCAGGCACAAGTCCAGGATCCGGGGACTTCCTTGGAATTAGGTGGAAAGGAGTAGCAGAGTATCATCTGCAAGTGATGATCTCCAGAGTCATAGCCCAGTGCTCAATCCACTGTGTCATACTGACTCTCTTCCCAGATCTTGGACCATATGACTAGAAGGTCTCCTATATAAACCTACTATATGGATCTTTTCAAAAGGATCCACAGTGTTTGACACTAAGGACACAGTTCAAGTAAAGACCACTTCAGTTACTTGTTGAGAAGCCCTTCCACCGCTGCATGATAAAAAATGAAAAACAAATACTGGGATAATAAATATGTGAGTTTATTGATGAACACATTGGACATGTTGTTCCATGTATCCCATTGTATTTGTAGGCAATTCATTTCAGAAGAAGAGGCGACCTCTCTCTTTCTCAAAGGCCTCATTATCTCTAGAACATGCTGCTTTTTAACAAAACAATTTATGAAGCATCAATCCACATATCACAAAAAATTCCTCAGAGTCTAACACTGCATGTCCTTATTCCAGAAAAAGTCCCACAGTGTTTAATACACTTGGCAGCTTACAAAATATCAAAGCCTAAGAGTTTATGTTTATGACAGTATAATGAAGGATCTTTCATCCTAATCATATTGTTTGAATAGTTTAAAAAGAATAAATGAGACACTGGGAAAAATGCCGGACCATTACAATTTTATACTGTGGGGTGGAAATAACGTTCTCTGAACAAGCAAACTTTCTGATTTTCTGATTCACCTAGAACAGTGGTTCCCAAACATTGATTCTCCAGATGTTTTGGACTACAATTCCCGGAATCCCTGGCTGTTGATTAAGCTAGCAAGGGCTTCTGGAAGCAATGTCAGTTCAAGCCACCAAAGTTTGGGGACCACAGATCTAAAATTTGCTGAGTGTGTTCAACTCCACTGCTTACCAAACTCCTTGAGCCAGAGGTGAGAGATACCTGACCTGCTAAACTCCAGAGGGTGTGGAGTACATTCCTGCCATGTTTGGTGGCCCACTGAGCTTGATAGGTGACAAAAAGAAATTGCAATAAAATGAAATATGCTCCAAATGCTCCCCAGATGATGTGAGGGCTACTTCCATTGGTCAAACCTAAGCCTAGGTTAGGTCTTTTTTGAAGAAGGAAGTGACTTCTCTTCATTTCCCATGGTTAAAAATGGCTTCCCTTGTCCTAAAATGCTCCCAGAAACAAAATAAATATGCCCCCTTGAAGTTATTTGTAGGTAGAATGAATATTTTGCAAAATCAGGTGTTAATGGAGAAGTATGGCTTGCCAAAGTCTTCTAGTGGACAACCCTTTAGTCTTGCAAAGTTGCCCACCCTCACTCTAGAGCAGTGTTTCTCAACCTTCCCAATACCGTAACCCCTTAATACAGTTCCTCATGTCTTGGTGACCCCAACTATAACATTATTTTTGTTGCTACTTCATAACTGTAATTTTGATTTTGTCATTTGGGAGTTGTAGTTGCTGAGATTTATAGTTAATCTACATTCAAAGAGCATTCTGAACTCTACCAACGATGGAATTGAACCATGACCAATAGAAAGTACTGGAAGGGTTTGGTGGGCATTGACTTTGAGTTTTGGAATTGTAGTTCACCTACATCCAGAGAGCACTGTGGACTCAAACAATGATAGATCTGGACCAAACTTGGCATGACTACTCAAATGTGAGCACTGGTTATGTTTGGGGAAAATAGACTTTGATATTTGGGAGTTGTAGTTGCTGGAATTTATAGTTCACCTAAAATCAAAGAGCATTCTGAAACCCATCAACGATAGTAGTGGGTCAAACTTCCCACACAGAATCCCAATAACCAACAGAAAATACTGTATTTTTAATGGTCTTTGGCAACCCCACTGACACTCCCTCACGATCCCCACAGGGGTCCCGACTTCCAGGTTGAGAAACCTGGAATGCTGTTGGCCTATAAGACCTATCATACTTTTCTGTTGACGGGGTGAGCTGACGCACTCTAACAATATATGGGAGTCCACCCATTCACTCACCTTGGTTTATGATAATTGGGTACCCAATGGATTTTGGATAAATGCTCAGACTATGCAATTAGTCAATACACGTTGTTAGGTTTGAACAGGTATTTTTTTTTAAGATGGTAGCTTCCATCAGGTCTAGCCACCTAAAATCTCTAGCAAGGGATTATGAGGAACTCCAAAATATCTGGAAGGCTATGCATTGTCATTCCCAGATCTACTTTGACAGAAATGTCAACAAATAACTATGCCTTCCCCAAAAGAAAAAAAAATGAAGAAAACCCATAAAATAGATGTCCTCTTGCTGTTGTGGACAGAACTTGGGAAATATGTTGAGTCCACAAAAGTTACTGTGAGCAGGTGGCTACCTTACCCACTCCTGCAAGTTGGCAATTAATTGCGCCATTAATCAAATTGCCAGGCAGGAGAGATAGAATCTCTTAGAAACCTTTTCTTGGTAAGAGTGAACAGCCCATGCTAATAAAACAAAAGGTAACCATAGGTTTGTTTGTCTCTACAATAAAAACTTATTCTGTATTAATACTGTCAGCAAGAATCCCTTCCTGATATCTTTAATGCCAGAGTGCTGTGTTTTCTTTTGCTTGATATTTCAAACCTATTTAACCAGCCAGTTTGTATAAATGATAACAGGCCTCCTATTGACTTAATCAAATGGCAGAGTTTTACTGGAACAGGAAGTCTGAACTTTGAATTTCCTGGTACGCATCAAAAGCAAATCAGCCTACAAGAGTGGATGGCAAAAAATTAGGCATAATTTGTCCTTTATTGCAACAGTAGGTCAATGCCAAGGGTTCAAATCCTGAAATGGTTCACATTGGATCCCAGCAGTGTTGCTATGATTCCATAAGCAGAGGAAGGCTGAACTGTGTGAGGCATCAGCTATGGAATCAATTGTGCATCGGAAACAAATGGGCTAGTTGGTAATTGAATTGGCCAGTTCCAGTTGGTAGCTTCCTTGCTCAGATCTTTCTCAGGCTTTGGGGAATTATTTATTTATCGTATCAGATGCAAATTGAGGGTAGAGTTGTAATGTATTTAAAAACACAAACAAAGTAAAAAAAACTTGGCATTATACAAGATGTCCTTTGACCTGTAGCTGGCCACTTGGAGTGCCTCTGGTGTTGCTATAAGAAGGTCCTCCATTGTGCATTTGGCATGGCTCAGACTGCATTGTAATAGGTGGTCTGTGGTTTACTCTTCTCCACACTTGCATGTTGTAAACTCTACTTTGTAGCTCCATTTCTTAAGGTTGGCTCTGCATCTTCTGGTGCCAGGCTTTAGGAAGACTGGGTGGTTTTTGGACCACATAAAACATTTCTGTCAAAGCGAAGTGATTCGCTACATTTAGTGTTAGTTGAAACTCATCACTTAGGCCAACCATAAGAAGAGTTGCAACAGATGTGGAGTAGACCCCATGCAGACCTTGCTTGGGAGCTAGTCTGAAACCCTGTGAAGGACTTGTAGGTACTAAGAGTTGTTAGGAATAAATTTTCCATTACCCCATACAGACAACTTTTTTCACCCCCAGGACGTGATGTCAAACTAAACTCTTCAAGTACTACCTATCTCTCCCAAGCCTTTCTGAAGGCCTCTCCCCCATACGCGATAGAGAGGACTTGTCAACTGCATTGCCATCCGTTTCTGTCTCGCAGCAGGGCAAACAAAGTTGGTAGCATGTGGGCATCAAGGCCTGCAGCTTGCAACCCATACCAGCAAAACAATCAGAAAAAGTTCTCTGGATGGCTGTGGAGGAGAAGTAGAAGATTGCTGGGTCTAAGGAAGCGTTGAGGGTGCTGAGGAGCAAAGCGTAGACTCTCCAATCAGGGCTGTCATTCTGAATGAAACCCACAATGTGGGAGATGTTGTAGGGAGCGAAGCAGATGGCAAAATTGAGCAATGTCACCACTGCCAGGCCCACGGCCCGTTGCTTCCTGCGGGCTTGAATGTTTGGTAAGGAGGTCAGGATGCGTATTAAGTTGACATAGCAGAAGAGGGAGACAAAGAAAGGGACCAAGAAGAGAGAAACACAGAGTTCCAGTCGGACAGGCAGAAGAATGTGAAGCTGTCTGGGGGAGAATTTTTCATAGCATTTGGAGACATTTTTTAGGATGGGGACAGTCTCGTTGATGTCCAACACCTGGTACTGGACAATGTAGACAATGCTACAGTGGGAACAGGCAAGCAACCAGAAGAAAAAGCTGGCCACTACTGCATAGATGGGTTTACGATGCAACTTGTACTTTATGGGATGGGCAACACCTAAGTAGCGCTCCACACTGATCGCTGTGAGAAACAGGGTGCTGATGTAGATGCTGCTATAGTAACAGAATCCAGTAAGGGGGCAGAGGAAGTCCGGCAAAGGCCAAGTCATGCCCGAGGCAGCCTCCACCATCTTGAAGGGCAGGAAGAGCAGAAGGATCACATCAGATACAGTCAAGTTGAACAAAAGGATGTCTATGGGGGCTGCCTTCTTGCGCACTTTCACCAGGAATGTGTAGAAGGCCAGGAGATTGGCAGGAAGTCCAGCCAAGAAGGCAAAGATGTAAACAGCAAGGACAACCGAGTTATCCGGTGTCATAGCGACCCTTTGGGCTTCTGCAAAGAGAAAGGAAAAATTGATATTAATGGAATACACAACTTGTTCAAACTGACTTCCCAGTTCCCCGTACTGGTTTCCCATTTCTCCATGTTCTCCCGCGCTCCTATTCTAAACCAAAATACTCAATGGCAGCATGGGAAAGGTGAAGGACACATATGTATGGAGCTGCAAATGAGGGATCTGTAAACTCCTGTATGTTATTTATTTGTCAACTGTGGGTCCATGGACCGTAATCAAGTGATTTAAGCATTGTACTAGGATTCTGGATAGCAGAATCCTAGTACAATGCTAGTTCAAATTCACTGGGTGACCTTGTACATGTCACACTCTCTCTTACTGCATCTACACTGTAGAATTAATGCAGTTTGACGCCAATTTAACTTCCATGCTCAATGCTATGGAATCCTGGGAGTTGTATTTTTACAAGGTCTTTAGCCTTCTCTGCCAAAGAGTTCTGGTGCCCCACCAACCTACAAATTCCAGGATTCTGCAGCACTGACCCATGAAATCCTGGGTTTTATAGTTTTGTTAGACATCCACACTCTTTAGCATCATAAGTTAAGGAGGAAATGGTGGAATGGTGCATGAATGCAACATACTACATTCCAGAGTGCTTCTGGAACATGGCCGTACAGCCCAGAAAACTCACAACAACCCACAATTTTTCTGTTACGGGACGGGGGCATTTAATTCTCTTGAAACAACTTTAGGTCCTGATTTTTAGTTTCCTGCTGAGAACAAAATGTTTGTTCCCTACCTTTACTTCAAGAGAGTTGCATTCATACTACAGTACAACATACTACAGAAACAAATAAGGCAGTTTTAAGAAATATCATAGAAGCCTTTTTTTAAACTATTAATGTTTTCACAACATCAGTGGCCAGAAAAGTGGAAGAATATTTTTGTAAAAATTCAGATTAAAGCAATTGGTGAGCCTAATAAAACAAACTCTTGCCACTGCCTTGAACTTGCTAGATGCCTTAGGCAAACTAATCATTGAAATCTCATTCCCCGCTCCCATTGCAATATATAAGTTAACAAATATTGATTTATCTTACTAGGTTGTTTTATGGTTAGATAATGTGTAAGTAGAGCTGGCTAAGATGTGCTATCTAATATGAGGTACCTGTGTATGTGAAACCCACCCTCTCTCTCTCTCTCTCTCTCTCTCTCTCAATACACACACACACACACACACACACACACACACACATATAGTGCTATCATATGAGCATTACACCAAGGAAAACTATTATCTCTTCCATTTCACTTATCTTAGCAGGAAAGGAGACGGTAGAGGTGACACATGCATAGTACCTTATATTACATTATCTCTTGTTTATGGTTTTCTAATTCTGGTTCTAATTTGCATGCACATTGACCTGAACGAACTCTGTTTTTCAAACACGTTTCCAGAAGTGAATTCTTCTTAAGCTGAAAGGCAGAAGTGCTTCTAAATGGCACATAGCCAAATGAGTGAAGGATTCCTTTTATTTCAGTGATTATATCTCATTTTTGTTGTTATATTTGTTGTTTCCAATGAATTCACACTTTACCAGATGAGATAAAATCCAACACTTGCCTTCCTTGAAGAATATTTATTGAAATTGCAAGCCTCATTCGTTTCAAAAGGCCTGCTCAATGCAGGAATGAATCTGGACCCAACCCACTGATATTATATCAGAGATGAAAGACTTTTGCCCCTTTCAATAGTTTGGAGACTTCAGCTCCCAAAATCCCCAATCAGCATAACCAAGGATTATAGAAATCACAGCACCCAGAGGACCAAAGTCTGGTTTAAAACACAGAAGAGATAGAAACCACAGAGCTATCCATACATTGCAATATCCAGCAGTCCTACCTTGTGGTGAGGGATGTTGCAAGCTGTAGTTTAACAAAATGAGAAGACTATGGGTCCATCTATATTGTAGAATCAGCACAGTTTGGTAGCACTTTAAGTACCATGGTTCCAAGCTATGTAATCATAGGTGTGCTGGTATGGCTGTACCAGGAGCTCCTACTTCATTTTCTTTCTATTGGGTGTTTGCATGTATTCCAAGGTTCCATGCATTTTGCAATAAGGTGGCTTCCCTTGGTTTGCAATTATAGGGCCAATGACCCATTAATCATGGTTAAGTTTTTGTTCCGCCCCTTTCCCCAGGGCTCTGGGAGGAGAGGGAGCCATTTTAGGTCAGTCTTGCATTGGAAAGCTTAGCTACAGGATGTGGATTAGCTCCACCTGTAGAGAAGCTTCGTTTCTCACAGCATCCGGGGAGAATTCTGGGGGAAAACAGTTCCAAAGGACTCCAGCTGGAGAATCTACAAAGCCTTGACTGGTAGGTCTACTCGGGACCCAAGAAGCAGTTTGGAGCCAGGAGTAGAGCCCACATCAGCAAAGTTTAGAAAGTAGATTGCCCAAGGAGGGGTTAAAAAGGGTTTTCCTCTTAAAGAAAAGAAACAGTTCATGAAGCCAGTTGCCTGTCCCTTGTGGACAAGATTAAGAAAGCCACCAGTTGATTCAAAGCCTTGAAGCATTTGTTTAATTTGTTGAAGATCTAAGAAATATTTGATTGTTTGTTGAAGACTTAAGCAATAATAAAGGACTTTGTTAAACCTTTCAAGCTTCTAAGGACTCTGTATAGGAAAATCCTTAGGGCCTCTCACTCGAGGCACCCCGGCTTCCCGCTGGGCACAAAGAGCACGTCCTCTTCAAAAGCGAAATGCTATAGGCCCAGTGCCTGACAGCACAATAGGAGTTGGTAGTTTAACAAGACTTTTAGACTTTTCTGCCAGATAGTTATGGTGCCTCATCAAACTATAACTTCCATTTTTCTATAGCATCAAATTGTGGAAGTTGAAATGGTGTCAAACTGCATTGATTCTACACTGTAGATGCATTCCAAGATGTTAACTGATTTTCAACCTTACAGGTGGCAGAGCAACTAAATACAGATGAACACACTTATACCATCCTTTCTTTATTGGATAGTAAAAATGGGCTGGTGCTGCGCTCTGTTCTGTTGGTCCCAAATTCTAGTTTAAGCAGAAAAAAAACTTCTACAAACCGCTCCAATGTTACAACTTGTACAATTCTGCTCTGCTTCCTATTCTAGCACTTCTTATTATGGCCTCAGCAAAATCTGCCCTTCAGTTTCCTCAAAGCTTTTTCTCTTACAAAAAAATGGAGTTTTTCTGCGGCATTGTTCCAATAAATAATGCAGAGGAAAGAGAAAGATACAAGAAAATGGAAAACCATGCTGAACTGAACTTTGTTTACGTATCCTTCCAATATTAATGAGAGTAAAATAATAAATGTAATATTAATAATAATAAAGCAGAAATGCAATAATAGCAATAATAAATCAAGTAAAATAATAAATGTAATAATAATAATAAATAGAGTAAAATAATAAATAACGCGTTGACTCAAGCCAAGAAGGGGCGGGGGGCTTTTTCAGCCTTAAAAAAAGCTGAAAAACTCAACTTATACTCAAATATATATGATAATTGCAAATTCCAAATTAAGGGAGGAATTTTAGGTACATCCTTAGTAATAAGATAATCCCCAAAACATGATTCCTATCATTCCCTCTAATAATAAACTCATTCATGGACAGCTGTGTTTTGTCAAAGCAAGGCCACCAAGCCTAACTGTTGGACAGCCCCAACATTGACAGAAGCTGAATCTACACAAGGGATATATCCTTCGTCTGATATGGAGTATCCTTGCCATGGATTGACCCCTGCACACACACCTGTTTTAACTTAATTGAAATCAGATTGGAAAACTACATAGCCCCCCCCCCCATTACATAGCCACACACATTGCCACAAAGAGTGTGTACATGTTCACCATATCTGTTTATATCTTGTCATGCATCTGCAGAACTGGTGGGTATTTTTGTAGGAGGATTACTGCCGCCACATGTGCATATATTATTTTTGCTTAATTCTGTAGCTTTTCTCTGTTTCCCTGTATTTCAGTTTGTCTGCCTATGCTTATATAAAGTCAAGCCAGTAGAGCAGGAGAGGTAAAATGGCAATTTGTCAATGTATGCAACGGTATGTATGTGAAGGCTTGAGTACAAATATTGAATCCTGCCCCCCAAAAGGAGGACACTGCCTTTTCCAAATGTGTCTGCAAGCAAAAGAGCTACCCTTCTCCATGATGGGAATGATCTGGTGACATATATGACACTTGACCCAGCTGACCACACACCCACCTTTTACTTTCCCATACAAATCCCAATTCTGATATCTATAGTTTGTCAAATCATCAGAATTGTCTGGCTAAAAATTCTAAGTACTCCCCCTAAACTGTCAGTCCAATGCTCCATGAGATGGAAGCATGGCAGATAAAACTAGAATTATAGCACTATAACCGGACAGTGTGAAGGAGCCTCTTGAGAAGGACAGGAGTCTCAGGGCAAGTCAACCTAACCTCCCACACATCTTACATAAGCACGAGTAGTCGTATACGATCTCATGCTGCAAGCTTCTGTTGCCTCTGCATATTATATAACCATCATAAAGTTGTGCAGTTAAGATGATAACGGAGAGTCCTGGCCTTCATCTTGCTTTAATGAGCTTGTTATGGTCCCTCGGCTGGGCCAATGGGAAAGACCTAAGCTACATCCTTTCTCTTGCTCAAGGCAGGTGAGTAACAGCTGGGCACCGGATGATTTTATCAGGACAAAGGAGGCCCAAGAAGGGAAACAAAATCAATATTTGGGTGTTGGTAGTTCATTGCCTGAGAGAAATGTGAAAATGGTGTCTCTTCAAGACAGTGGTCTGCGTCTGAAGACAGTGAAGTAAAATGTATTGTTGAAAACTTTCATGGCCCGAATCACTGGGTTGTTGTAGGTTTTTTGGACTGTATGACCATGTTCTAGAAGCATTCTCTCCTGACGTTTTGCCTGCATCTGTGGCAAGCATCTTCAGACATTTTGCCTGCATCTGTGGCAAGCATCTTCACAACC